ACGTTAGATAAACACGCATTGTTTGCAACTGGAAGCTTATCACCCGTTATATCAGAATCGTCAACAACAGAGTATACAGATAAGATGTTATCATTTAAACCCTTCCAAAGATAAACAATATGCAAATATCCACGAAACGGCAGTTGTAGTCTTTTCTTCTAGGGTTTTAAAACACTGATTTGAGCGACGTTATTTCGCAATTTCGATCTTTTGTAAACCTGGGATGATGTATCAAGGTCTAAAGTGAACGTTTTATCATTTTTTGAAAAATCAAGAAAAAATTGAAAATTTCCCTTCTCGCTACCTTAACACGATGTTCCCAAATATTCTGACTTTTACAATGACATGTACGCAATATTATTTACACTTTATTTAATACGATGTGCAAGTGTCCTCGGCAAACATTGTTCTTAGTAAACACTGGGAAGTATTTCACACCGGAAATAATATCGCACGTTAACGTTCGACATTAATTCATGGCCTGATTCGCGCATGTGCGTCATACAACCCCAGAAGATTTGTTACATCAGAACGCGTTGACTGGAGGATTATACAATGTGTGATATTGCTTGATTCTTGATTCTTAAACACAAATTATCAAATATATTAAAAAAACTGTAAAATGTAATTATGAATTTTTGTTTTATCTGTAAAGTGTAATACTGTAAATGGAACTTTCATTTTATTTCTTGTAAAAACGTAAAATGCACTTTTCCTTTTCTTTAACCTGTACCAGCTATCCCCCCCGTGCCCACCCTCACAATAGGGGACTGTGTCGGCGCTTGGTCGGCGTCACCCACAGGTCGCCAAGTGAGACTTTTAGGCGCCGTTTACCATAGCATCAGCCAGGCGTCACTTATTTGACTGGCGAAGTGCCGCGTGCCGGAGCGCGGCTCACAGCGGTCCACCACTTTCATGGCACAGAAGTTGTTTGTTTAACGCGTGCCGCGACCCACCGGCTCGGGAGATCTTTATCAGTATAATACAGATTCGAGATTACCTAACTGTAAACCGCGCAATGGCTTATGGGTACCAGTTATTAAACAGAGTTGAAAACGAGGCTGTCGAAAGACCCATGTGTTCTCTTCCGCCGGCCATTCTTAGACTGTGAGCAGTTTTACGGAGACCGGTAAAACAAAAAAACAGGTATTTCCCTTTTTGAAGTGACTGTGGTCTTAAATTAAGACTTGTTAAATCCACACAACAATCTGGTCTGCCACTAGCAGTGTACAATAATGTTAAACTGTTCAACATTTCGTCTATAATAAAAATAATTTTACGGCTGTTACACATCATATTCGGTCTACCATGGTTTACCGTACGTGGCCATGCGAGTCCTACGTGTGCTTATATCTCCGACCTCTCGATACGAAGGTCTTTCGGAATTGAAACATCGTTTATTACCTATCAATTCTTGGGTTATAGTGTAAAAATAGAAATTTATGTAGCATAGACGAGATACTTTGTAATGATCGCGAGAAATCAACTAATAATGTAATGGTGTACCCAGAATGCCTTCTGGGAGTACTTTATTCTTTCCAATCGCTAAGTTTATATCATTATTCATTCAGCAGCTTTAACCGATTTTATTACCAAGATGGTTGAAATAAATAAATGGGGGTGTGGGTGATGTATCCTTAGACAGTATATGCATCAAACTACCCATAGATTATGTTATCTATACTTCCAAGCATAAGGACTCCTAATTTTCATTTTTCAATCAAATTATACAATTCTGGATAATATTTCAGGTATTATTGTATACCACCAACATATTGTGATAATTGAATACTTTGTGATGGTCAGCTATGATGTCAAATGTTCAGTCTACTTGCATTAACCAATCAGAGTACTGAGATAAAACACCATACACGCTTGTTCGAATGTCTGTTATTTGGAAACTGTCCATATTCATGCGTCATTCAAACTCTTGATAACATCGAACTATAGCGAGATACTGATATAGAATCGTGAACGTAGACAACCCCCCTATAAAGGTCGTTCCTTCAGCGCGAGTGATGGTGAGTAGATCTCTCCTCCCCTCCCATACAAAATTTGGTACCATCGGCTCTGGTTTATTATGTACATATCCAGTGTGTATTAATGGTTTATTATGTACATATCCAGTGTGTATTAATGGTTTATTATGTACATATCCAGTGTGTATTAATGGTTTATATCCAGTATACTTTATTGTTTTTGCCTGCTAGGTCAGCATGTCTCATCCGTTGATGCAGGAATCTATTTGGTTTGAAAAGTTCAGATGTGATGATGCAGAAAGGAATTATGAAGAACACCTTGCAAAGCAACACTCTGGATTAGTTGTACAGGTTAGTAACTGTTAAATACAGACATAAAGTATGGATGTGTAATTGTTGTGAAAGCAGTGAAGTCTGGTCAGTGCTATTATTAGATGTAGATGTATTAGGGTGATGTATTAGGGTGATGTATTAGGTGTATTAGGGTGACAATGATGCCCCATCACTACACTCGCCTCACATTTGCTTGATATCTCCTCCAACCCATATTATTTTGAAAATATTTCAATTGCACCCTTACCATTACTATGTTCAGGAGCTATTTTAGCTCCCAGATCATTTTAAAATTTGCCTGTACAATCTTTATAAATTCACCTAGCATATTGACAATGTTATCAATATCTGAAATTTGAATCTCTACACATCCATTCACAATGACAACTGAAATCACAATGTATTTTTTTGCACTTATTTTTTTTGATGATTGACAAAACACGTTTACAATATTGTAAAAAAACTCCACTTCATCCAAAGAGTATGTGTAAATTTCTTTGTGTGGACTTGCTATGCAGCTATTGAGAACTCTAGACTGTAGCCCAGGGCACAGACTACCAATTTTTGTGACAAAGCAACCAGAAATGTTCAAATAATTACAAATTTTGCTTCACTGTTATACCAAAATAACAAAGTATGGTTTGTCACTGCACAGTGAGTTGGTTATTTTCATGTATTCACAATTGAGTGCATGGTTTCAGGTACCAAACCATCGAATATCCAATATTATATTATACCAGTATATTGATGATGTTAATCCATTGATTTGATTGGTCCAAACACAAAATTTGCATATGCAATCCATGGTATATTGACTGATAATGCACGGCTAAACCAAGTGGCCCTGGAACATGAATTGACTACAGGTTTAATACTGAAATACATAAAACCGGTATTATTTGATTTTTAGGGAAATATAATGGTTGAATTTTGGAAGAATATTGAAAAAAATACTGAATTAAAAACATCTGAAAAGTTGTATAACCATAATATTGCTTTTTGTTAATGGTGGGATCCAAGTTGTGAGCGTCGGTCGTTGGGTGATTGTCGTTCGTCACACAAACCTAAACCACCGTCCCTCAACACCGTGAGGTGCCTAAACAAACACCAGAACACTGTGTTCTCTGTGTTGTGACTCTTGAGATGATGGATTGCGAGCCTCCAACAAAGAAAACATGACCTTTAAGTCCTAGATAAAATTGAGGGATTGAAGGACAAAAAAATGCAAAAAACTATGAGTCACAGGCAAAAATGTATGCCACCAATAACAACCAGTGTCCCGTAGTGACGTTTGCAGTGAAATTGCACCCAGGTAATTGCCATCTGTTTCAAAAAACACAGGACAACGCAGGATTCGATGACGATATATGATATTGTAATTCTCCACTATGGGTGAATAAATTATAGGAGATGATGAAGGTAATTTCGAAAGCTGCAGATTTGTGTCGAGTGTACACCAACCACTGCACGGCGTGCAAAGTCTTTCTTTCGGCCGGAGTTGAGACAAGGCATATCATGTACGTGTCACAAAAACGATGCGAGAATTCGATCTTACACCATCAAACTTACCCCAGAACGACAAAACTTGTCAGTCATACTGTCACAAAACTTTGGTTATACCAACGGTATTCAGGTCAGATGATACATGATACACCGCGTCCCGCAGCGTCTCAAATTTCGGTCGAACCAAGTACCGCTGAACGTCAAATATCCACAGTTAAAAGTAGTATGATGAATCACAAAACCGGTTTATTTCACAACTGTACTTTCAATGGGCAAATTACAATCCAAATTGTACAAAAAGCGGAATGAAAACGTGGAAAATCCGTTGTTTCAATGATCCAAACTGTACACGACCCTGTAACTCAAATCGCGTTGACGCAGTCAGTAAAAGGTCAGAAAGGTCATCTTTTGTTATGCTAATGTGTGTGTTTACGCTGCTCTATTCATTGTGGGTAAGTTTCTTTTTCATGCAGAATAAAAACTAGTTTGTATTTAATTTGAACTTTATTTCGCATGTATTTTTTGTATGCATTCAGTGTACAACTACATACTATTCATATAAATATTCATGTTCAAGGGCCATAATCATGATCTTTTAGTAGATGAAAGTAAACTCTTTTTTTTTACTAGTTTTATTGAATTGTCAATATACTGGTATAATATAATAGCAATAACCCCCGTCAATATCAAGTGGTATACCCAACTTTTAAGTTATTGCTCAATTATTGTCATTGCAATACTATAAGATTATTACGAAGCTACCTCAAAGTATGCATGAAGATAGTTTAGACGACACGCAGTGGAGGTCGATGCGACAGCGTACTGTCTGAGTGCATACTTTGAGGTATCTTCGTAATAACCTTATTATATAATATACATCTTTTCTTACCAAGGATACATCATTGGAATGCCAAAATCTAAAAAGTTTAGAACAGAATCGGCGAACTTCTTTGTATGCCCGGACCGGTCAAACCCTGGTGGCAGCCATGTTTGTTTTTTATTTGCGCTTATGCGTGTAATCATTCCATATTTGGAATTCGCATTTTCTAATATGGTAGGATAAAAATACCCTGTAAAATACTGCAAAATTACAACACACTGTAACATATGGCGTTACGGTGACAGATGTATAATAATACTATTTATTCAAGATTTGTGAAATAGTGACATATTACTGAAATATTACTCGTATGTTTTAGATACTGGTCCAATATTTGCCTTGTATCTATATTGCTATGTATGTTGTTTTTTGTGAAGAAAATATACAATGCTGTTAAAACCTAATTTTAGACATAGACTGTATAGACATGGATCATACAGTACAGTTCTCGCGGAAGCTTTGGCTTCACTTCAGCTTCACCTTCGCTTCAGCATGGCATTGTTATGGCTTCAGCATTGCTTCAATGTCGGGACATTAAAAAGTTAGGCTGTTATCGCTTCGCTTCATTGTGGCCTCATTATGGCAACAATGTGGCATCAGCATCGCTTCATCAAACAAAGAAGTACAGAACTCATTTCGCCCAACCTCTCGCCCGCTTCCGCTTTTCAATCGCTTGCTTTTGCGACTGCTTGTTGAATTTCCGCTTTATTTTCGACTGTGCAAAAAATCGGACTACTAACAATTTTCTGGTTTTCATAGGTCACGGTTACTAGTTTAGTAACCGTGCATAGATGTTAAACAACCGTCAAAAGTTCAAATACTTTTTGTTGTAACTATCTATAATTATATGCACGCAATCTGACCCTTTGACCTATATTTGGCTGGGATTGACTATTTTATTTTAAACAATATTCTGACGTGACGCACTGCTACAAAATGTATTTCAACAGAAGTACGACATGGTTGTCCGGGTTTCTTTTCCTGACTGTGTTGAGTTTACGATTTGTATAACTATTATTTCCCCCAAGGAGAACAAAAGCCGAAGGACCATGGAGCTAAATAGAAGTCCCACGCATGGACTGAGTGAAAGAAAATATTTCTAAGGCTAAAATAAAACCTAATATCTCTTTGTGTATTTGTCACTTTTGCATATATTTGTTGTGACAGTATGTTCGTAAATATCTGGAAAAATCTCGTCTTTCGTTAATAATTTCATTTGTTTGAAATGTCTACCAACCGTGTCCCAATAATTTGTTTGGAATATCGATCCCCGTTGGTTTCTCCAAACGGTCCCGACGTCCATCATTCAACACAATCAGCATTTATTTATTGTAATTCATGGGGATCATGTCCCGTAATTTGCGGGCTGTAAAACCAAATAATTAATCATGTACTATTTATTATATATATTTTTTTACCTCGTGAAACTACAACACAGCGTAGAGTTGTCGTGGTGAAACAGTCGCCTTGAAATCGATGGAACTTCAATTATCCATTTCTCGCCTTGAAATAAAATTTTAAAAATTCGAAGAGCATCGGGGGGATATATTATTAACCAGTCTTACCAATCGCTAGCTTTATTTTATTCAAATCCATAAAATTCACGGGTTTTTCGACATTTGTTGGCAACTTCCGCACTAAAAATTGAAGGGTCGTCGTACTGTCCAATCTCCGGCGTCGATTCACTTTGCTGTGACAGGCTTCACAATCATTCACTGAAAAACATGGTATATTTTGATAAACGGCTGGGATTTGACCTCAGTTCAAAAAAAGAAAAAAGAAAAAACTGGGCTGAGATACAAATCAGTTTTGCAAGTTGGGAAATAAGGTAAACCAGATTGGGGTCGATGATATTCAGTATCGAAGGACTTCCGTGTGTATAATGAGTTTCAAATTGTTCGACTGGTCACCAAATATTTAAGACTACAACTAAATGAACACTTTTTTTTCTGAAGCCCAATAAATTATTCCTGCTTTTCAAGTGCTATTCGATTTTTTACCAGGCCTGTGGCTCGTTTTTATTCAAAAATATTTTTTTGTGAGAATACTTTTAAAGTACGTATAGATCGAGCTCAGGTCACTGATCGTGACTTAATTTTGAAAATTGGATGTAAAATTTTACCAGGCCGACGCCACCACAACCATCCATCATAGTTGGAAAT